TATGGATTGTTTCGATTTACGATTTTCTATCATCTTTTCCGAACACATTGAGCTTTCTATCATATTGCCAAAGCACTCTAAAGCAATGTACGTATATTCTAACTAGAATGAATTTGGAATCGGTTGTGTGGTAAAATTCTAATAATAATACACTAGTAATAGTACACTCGCATGTTCGAAGACATCTGTAAACTGAGTTGTTTAGATCTTAAATTCACTTTCTGGAATAGGATTACCTTCAACTAGTGATGACAGCGATGGTGTGACTCTTAGTGGAATAACCCTCGCTGTGGAAGCTCTTAGTCAACTCAGTGATGCTCAAATGAAAGGGGACAATCTTTGTCGCGCCGATAAAAGTTTGCTATCTGTTTATTTTTTTTTGTTTTCTCAACTTTATAAACTCCTACTTCTAGAGGAGAAGAAGATTGTTGAAGAAAGGAACAGCTTCACGCGGTTACCGAAGTGTTGGGAAACACCTTCGACGTCGTCAGATGTCACGGAGCCAGATCGTAAGATTATCGAGAACACTGGATCAATCGTTATCTTTACTTCATTTACGGAGTGGGTCTTTTATATGAATATAGAGTTTTTTTTATAGGATTTATAGGATTACGCTGTCATTTACAGAGCTGAACGTCTAACCGAATTGGAACGTGAAGTAGCAGACGTGATCCGATGCCGCAATAGAATAATTAAATCTCTTCAAGATAGCTCGTTAGTAGTTTCAGTTGCTTTTGGAAACGTGTAGTGGATGACCCACAATTTTCAGATTTTCATGCATCAGTCATGTGAAGATGTACATTATCAATGTTCTTCCGAAGGATCACCAATGTGGCGATTTGTCAAGTTCGTTCAAAGATGTGAGAGATATGTTCCCTAAACAAGTCCTTTTTTTCCTCTGTAAATATATAACTGAAAGCTCTCCCTAAGGTCTTGCGAACTTATTCAAATAGTGAAACCTTTTGATTGTAATTAAAGCCAACAGCAATCGGGAATGCAGCTGTATGGTCGAGAAGAATGCTTTATTTCTGACTGAGAAAACGACGCCTCCAATATCTTCGCTCTACAATGTGCAGTATTGTTTTAGGTCTCGCCAGAATTAACTTCCTGTATTCTTTCTCGTCCAGCAGGAGATGAGCTCATATCGGTCATTCATTCTGTGGCCATAGAGATATATGATCTTGTTTCAACAACAGTTTCTGGAATACCCATGAAGGTTTGTATTAAATACTTTATAGGAGCTCTTCCGAAATGTATAGAGTCTACTAAGTACATAATTTGTTGTTATAAGTGAGCCTTATAAGGCCCCACTTTCTTTGCAATTTTAATTGGTTATTTCTGAAAGGAATATCATTTGACTAATGTTCAAAGTTAAATCTTTTTTTGCAAATCATCTAAGTTAACCATGCGGTGTTTCTGCGGTCTTCTTATAATTTTTTTGGCAGTGGGATTTTAATAGAGTTTTGGAGTTGTTTTTAAACCAAGCAGCTGATTTTTTTTTGAGAGAAGCTGTTGAATAGAATGTAAACTGAATTTTTTTGATGCTGGCTGAATAGAGCGGAAGCAGTTTTTGCAACCTGAGGTTGTCGACTCCCATCCTTTTCCATTGTTCAGGAAGAAGCTCAACAGGGTCAATCCGCAGTTGCGATAAATTACGATGTGGAATTGCTGCACAGTAGAGAGGTGCATATAGAATTAGAGCGGTTGGGACTTGTGATAGGAAACACTATGAACAAAGGTTAAACCTTTTTTTGAATAGTTTTATGCAATCACATCTTAACTTTCTCTTTTAGCGCCGGATATCACTGGAACATTGATGGTGTATGCCGATAATTCCACCTATCCTACTGCTCGCCTTGTGTGGTCCACACCTATGCCAAAAGGACGCTGGAATATGG